TATATATATATATATATATATATATATATATATATATATATATATATATAATATAATATATATATATATAATGTATATATATTATATATATATGTTATTATTCTTATTTATAATGAGGTCCAAACATAAACAAGAAAAAATATATTTTTGTTCTATATCAATATACCGTTCTGTCTGTATTGTATTTAACTGAGGTGTATGTACACCTCAATTTATATTTCGTTTTTGCAGATATTCAAATAGAAAACGCCGATGAACTGAAGGAAAATAAAATACAAGATGAGCAGCAGCAGCAGGAGCAGCAGCAGCAACAGCAGCAGCAGCAGCAGCAGCAAATACAAGAACAAGAACTAGAGGAAGAAGAACAACAACAGCAACACAGACAGCAACAGCAGCAGCAGCAGCAACAAGAAGAAAGCCAGAGTCATACAGAAGACGCAGCGGATGCTGCTACTGCTGCTACTACTGCTGCTGCTGCTGCTGCTGCTACAGATGCTGACACAGCAGCAGCAGAAACAGCAGCAGCAGCAGAGCAACGAAATGCAGCAACAAGAGTCGAAGGGGAGACACCTTCCTCAGGGAAACAAAGAAGAAGAAAAATAATAAAAATGCTGGTAGTACTTGGATCAGGTACACCACAAACCCCCCAGCATGTTGGGGTGTATAGGCAGCTACATCCGCTTGTTCTGAGGTGTATGCGCAGCTATAGCTGCTCGGTTTGGGGTTTATATAAAGTTTATTTATTTATTTTATTTATTTATTTATCTAAGCTAGTGTATTTGTTTATTTATTTATTTCTGTTGTTTAGGTGGCCATACAGCTGAGATGCTGGGGTTGCTGCGGGAGTTGAACTTGTCTCGTTTTCGTGTTTTGTTTGTCGTCGCTGACTCCGATAAAAACAGCAAAATACAGGCAGAAGAATTCCTTAAACAACAAAACGAAAAGGTAATTATATTTATAATTATAATAAAAAATAAAAATAAAAAATAAAAATAAAAATAAAAAATAAAAATTAATATTTTTTTTGGTGTTGGGGGTGGTACTATCACTGCTGTTGTTTTTACTAATGATAATAAATTTCTTTATTTGTTGTTTTCTTTTTATTATTCTTTTTATTATTTTTTTTATTTTTTGCTTTTTTAATTTTTTTTTATTTTTTTATTTAGTTGTGGCGGTTGTTACTGCTGTTTTTGTATTCTTATAATAATGATGCATGCAAATAAAAACAATAAAAACAATAATATATAACTAAAATATACATAC